GCAGGACCCTGAGACCACCGGGTTGGGCGGGCGGCCGGAGGGATCTGCTGTGAATTTGAGGTTGACCTTCTGCGTAGACATTTTTGGGTTCTTTTGCAGTTTTTCTAAGGAATTGCACAACTCCCTGTCGGGGAGGCGGCCGGAGGGGGTGGCTCTGGCGTGGGATGGGGGGTAGGGGGCCACAGCTGCAGACCCAAGTCCCCCTACCTCCTCAGAAAGGTCCCTCCCCAGGCCGGGCCCCTGGAGTGTGTGGGTGTGTGCGCGTGTGCATGCCGTGTTCGTGTGCAAGGGCTGGGGAGGGAGGCGCGAGTGTGTGCACAGGGCCGCCCATGCCATGAGTGTGTCTTAAGTGTGAGCGTGGGGACCCCAGCGGCCCCGGGTCGGCTGAGCCAACGCCAGGGCTTCCGAGGTGCCGGTCAGGAGTTTGGGCCCCGCTTCTGCCAGGGGAGCAGGGACGGCTGGGTCCAGGGGATACGACGGGGGAGCCTGAGCACAGGTCACATGGGCAGCAGTTCCAAAGGGCTCGGGGGCCTGGGGGCAGTGGAGACTGGCAGGGCCCCCTGTAAATATGGCCCCAGGGTGGTCAGAGAGCCCCGTGCCACCCAACCCCTTGTGACCCTCCCCACCTCCAGCTGACTGTGCATGCCACGTGGCCAGCTGAGTCGACCCTCTCTGGAGTTCACCTCCCCCGGCCCCCTCCCCTTCAATAAAACTCTGTTTACAACCACCGGCCCCCACGGCTCTGGACCTGCTCTGTGTCCACTGGGGGCAGCTTGGAGACCTCTGGCAGTGCCGGAACACACAAGAGAAATCTAAGGTGTTGGGCTGAGCACCGTGGGGGGGGTCTCCCATGTCATCCTGGAGACTTGGGAGGCTGAGGCAGGAGGATCTTGGGGGGGGCATCAGAGCTCGAACTCAGGACCTTGTGCTCGCCAGTCAGGTGTGGTGCCCCTGAACTACATCCCTGGCCCTTGAGGCAGAAAGATCTTAAGTTCAAGGTCAGTGTGGGCAACTTAGCAATACCCTGGTTGAAAATGAAAAGGATTGGGAATGTAGCTCAGTGGTGGGCACTTGCTTAGCATACCTAGCGTGTGTGAGGTCCTCGGTGCCGTCCCCAGCACGGCAAAAGACGCAAGAGGAGAACTGTACTTGGGGGAGAGGTTTGGGAGGGTAGCTGGGGAGGCTTTCTGTGAGGAGGGGTCCTGTGAGCCCAGATAGGACCGCTGAGGAGCTGGGAGAGAAGATCTATAGGCAGAGTTGGTTTTTATTTTGAGATAGGGTCTCACTAAGTCGTTAGGTTGCTCAGGCTGGGCTTGAACTTTCTATCCTCCTGCCTCAGCCTCCCAGAACGGTGGGTTGACGGCTGGGTGCCACAAGGACAAAATAATTCACGAGCATCGAGCACATCGGCTTGCTCTCTCCCAGCCATGGCCCATCGCCATCTGCAGAACGTTCTCGTCTTCCTGAATGACAACCTGACATCCATTCAACCCGACCGGCACCGGCCAGGGGAGGGTCCGGGGCAGAGGGTGTGGTCTGGTTCATTGCACGAAGTAGCTTTGGAGATGGAACGGGAGACAGAACCCCGTCTTCTCTGCATGGGGGACCAACCCTAAACACAGACATTCATGCTGAGTGTAGCGGAGCATTCCTGTTATCCATGCACTCTGGCAGGCTGAGGCAGGAGGGTTACAAATTCAAGCCCAGACTAAACTACTTAGTGATTTGGAAAGACCCTGTCTCAAAATGAAAAGGGCTGAGCGTGTAGCTCAGTGTGAGGTCCCTGGGTTCCTGAGTCATAGCTGTGTATCCACCTGCCTTCCCAACCTGCCCCAGCCCTGGCTACAGGAGCACCTGCCCTGGCCTGGGTCATTCCGCTTAGAACCCTTAATTGTCTCAAATCTGAACAGGGACAAAACCCATCAGAGACTGGGCCAGGAGAAGAGTTCATGGCCAAGCATGACAGAAATCCCAGCATTTTTTTTTTCTTTTTTGAGACAGGTTGGCTTTGAACTCACTCTGTAGTCCAGGCTGGCCTCGAATTCATGGAGATCCTCCTGCCTCAGCCTGCCAAGTGCTGGGATGACAGGCGTGCTCCACCACTGTGCCCGATGATCGATCCCAGCATTCTTGAAGGCTGAAGCAGGAGGATCACATGTTCACAGCCAGCCTGGGTAATTTAGTGACTAACCGAGAACACCTCTCAAAAACTACAAAAGGGTGGGGATGGAGTTCAGTGAAAGGCCCTGTGCTCTTGTAAACCAGTAGCTCTTCAGAGAACAAAGAAGTAATACCAGGGATCCTTGGAGATTGTAGCTTCCCAGGTGGAGAAACTGAGTAGGAGAAAAGTTATGCCGCTTGTCAAGTTCACAGAGCAACGCAGCTGGCTGTACAGCTAGATCCAGAGTCAGACTCTCTTCCCCAAGTCACTGCAGAGACTGTGCAGACTTTTGGCTTTATGCACTAGTGAACTGTCTTTTTTTTTTTTTTTTTTTTTGCTACCGGGGATCAAACTCGGGACCTTGCGCTTGCGAGGCAGGCAGTGGATCCACTGAGCTAAATCCCCAGCACTGAACTATAATTTTTTAAAAACCACTTCAATTAAAAAAAAGGAAAGGAGGGCCCGGAGATTTAGCTCGGTGGTTCCGCCACCTGCCTCGAAAGCACAAGGTCCCGAGTTCGATCCCCGGTATCAAAAAGGAAAAAAAAAAAAAAAAAAAAGGAAAGGAAAACACTAAGACTAGGCAGGGCTTTCAGAACAAAGCTGTTTTTTGTTGTTGTTCATTTCAGTAAACTTCCTGGTTTTTCCCATAAATAACATCTCTTACTCAGAGCGTTGTCCCCAGTTCCCCAGGGTCAGCGCTTGGAGACCTTGGACCTTTGAAATCTGGATCAGGGATGTGGGGACTCAGCCTCAGAGACTCTTGGGTGCCCCCCACCCCCCAAAAAAGTCAGAAAGCAAGGGCAGGGAAACATCGTGTTTTGAGGCCCAGAAGGGGTAGGCAGGAAGCGATGGCCAGGAAGCAGTTTGGCAACAGGGCAGGGCAGGCTGCGTCCCCGTCCGTGAGGACCGGAATGGGTGGGGCGGGGACTTCCTCTTGTCTGAACCCCGCCCCCAGGCCCAGCAGGTATAAGACCACCTGCCCCAGGCCCGAGGAGTCTTGGAAGAAGAAGAGAAGAGCCACCATGTCCCCTCGGAGCAGAGAGCAACAGCAGAGGTAGGTTTCAGCTTATCCTTCCTGGGTACCTGGACATTACATCCAGCCCACTGAAGTCACAGGGGACAGACAGAGGCCGGTACACACACACACACACACACACACACACACACACACACACACCCCCCCAGCAGTCCAGGTGGGACACTGCCTGACAGGGCAGAGAGTGGGAGAGGACCCCTTCAGAGCTCCCAGGATTATGATGCCCCTGTAAACCACCCCTCCTCAGAACCAAACGTTCACCTCACATCTGCCCAGAGCAAGACACACTTTCATGTTCACGGTCCTCTCTTTGCAGCTGGAACCCCGAGTTTAATCTGAGAGCTCTGGAGCTTTAAAGATTGAGAAGCCCAGAGCAGAGCTCCTTCTTTGTTGGGAAGAAACTTTTAAAAAAAGGCTTCATGGAAAAGAGAGCATTTGCGCTGGGGATTTGCAGGGTAAATAGGAGTTTACTGGCTGTTCCGTTAAAATACGGAACTAGGGAGAGAAGGACTGACCCTGAAAACAAACCAAATCGCAATTACCTAACAGTTTGGACTGGAAATCATTGATGGTCCATAAGGGCTGGGAGGGCAGTGGGGAAGAGTAGTGTGTCAGGATCAGACTCAGAAACTCAAGAATCAATAGAATTCTTCCAGGAAAAATAGCTCTTTCTGGTAGCTACAGGGGTGGATAGAAGTCTGAAGAGGAAGTGACCACACTGCACTGGTCAAGGCAACAAGCAGTGGTACCCACAGAGACGGGAAGAGAGGGCAGGTGCTGAGTATATTTTCACTGAGGGTCACCAGACACCTGTCATTGCTCCCAGGCCAGGGGGCCGCAAGCCCTGTCTTTCGAGAAGCTTGTTCCTGCTAGTGCTGACCATGGCCTCCGCCCAGGCAGACTTCCCAGGCCCCAGAGAGTGCGTGACGTACCAGTCTGACAGCCACAGCTCGGTGTCCTGCTACTCCCCGTCCACGTTCCCCGGCCCCCTCCCCAGGGACACCGTGCGCCTGGCCGTGGAGTTCTCCAGCCTGACCCGGCTGCCGGCCGATGCCCTGCGGGGCACCCCCGGCCTCCGAGAGCTGCATCTTTCTAGCAACCGTCTGGAGGAGCTGCCGGCTGAGCTCCTGCTGCCTGTGCCTGGCCTGAAGGTGCTGGATCTCACCCGCAATGCCCTGACTCAGCTGCCCCCCAGCCTCTTCCGGGCCTCTGCTGCCCTGCACACACTGGTGTTGAAGGAAAACCGGCTGCGGGCCATGCAGGCCTCGTGGCTGCACGGCCTGAAGGCGCTGGCCTTCCTGGACCTGTCCGGGAACCACCTCCGGGTGCTTCCCCCCGGGCTGCTGGCCAACCTCCCGGTCCTGCGCACCCTGGACCTCGGGGACAACCAGCTGGAGGTCTTGCCACCTGCTCTCCTTCGAGGCCCACTGGACCTGGAACGGCTGGATCTACAGGGGAATCGCCTGCGGGCGCTTGGCGAGGACCTGCTGGCGCCGCAGCCCGGCCTGCGCTACCTTTTCCTCAATGACAACAGGCTGGCCGTGGTGGCGGCCGGCGCCTTCCGAGGCCTGAGGCAGCTGGACATGTTGGACCTCTCCAATAACTTGCTGACCACCGTGCCCAGAGGGCTCTGGGTATCCCTGGGAAAGCCCACCCGGGACATGCGGGACGGCTTCGACCTCTCCGGCAACCCCTGGGTCTGCGACCAGAACCTGGATGACCTCTACCGCTGGCTGCTGGCCAACAGGCACAGGATGTTCTCCTGGAACGGCACCTGCTGCGCCGGCCCGGAAGCCTTGAAGGGCCAGGTGCTCCTGACAGTGGCAGGGTCCCCCTGAGGTGTGGGGCTCATGGCGCCCCTTGTTGCTGTTGCTCCTGCCTTCCATGGGTGGCATCCCAGGGTCGTTGCGCTGCCGGGACCATTTTACCCGCGGTCCCCACAATCCCGGGTGTGCTTTCCGGGTTTCTTGTCTTTCTCACCCTGTGTCCTCCAGCTGCGATGCTGTCCCCATACCCAGGACTGCTTGGTCTCTGGGCTTCCCAGACCCCGTGTCCCTCTCTCTGGCCGATGTGGCCACACCAGAGCTGTCTCTGTCTGCCTCACCTTCCCCAGTTTAGGGGCTCTTGAGTCCTGGGCCTGGGCCCCAGCTCCCTTGGTGCCAGTGACCCCGGCGTGTTAATAAACAACTCTTGAACGAAACGGGATAGGTCACATTGTGGGGTTTCTTGCATCTCCCCGGGAGGCGTCCTCGGTCCCCAGGATGAAAGAGGAGGGAAACTGAGAGGTGGGACCCAGAGCCCGGTCACGGTCACACGTGGACGGCCCTGGAGATCAGATGGCCGCTGGCTTCTCTCCCTCCCCCATCCCAGGACTTAGTTGGAAATAAAACCCTGACCATTTGCCCGGGTGTCACTTTACAGGTGGATTTTGGCCAGAGCTTGTGTCCCAGATTGCTGGGGTCTCTCATGTGTCATGCTGGCCTAGGGGGACAGAGCGACACCTGCCCAGGACAGGTCAGAGGGCATGGCAGGGCCAGTGGGCTGTTCTCGTAACTCAGACCCACAGGGTCCCCTGCCAACGCAGAGATGTGCATGTGGGGCCGAGGGAAGCCCGGAGGGCCTGGGGAGTTAGGTTTCATCCCCTAGAGGAAGGGTAATGCCTGGTTAGAAGGCAGGGCCCTGGAACCGAACACAGCTGGGCCTCAATCAGATCCTGTCCTCTCTCTGGAGCCGGGGTAAGTGGTTCAAGCATTTGGGCCTGGGTTTGCTCCTCTGTAAAATGGGGATCCAAGAGCCAGGCACAGTGGCACACACCTATAATCTCACGACTCTGGGAGGCTGAGGCAGGAGGATTGCCCATTTGAGCCCAGTCTAGGCCATTTAGCCATTTAGTGAGACCCTGTCTCAAAAAAGGGAGGGAAGGGCCGGGGGTTTAGCTCAGTGGTTCTGCTGCCTGCCTCGCAAGTGCAAGGACCCAAGTTGATCCCCGGTACCACAAAAAACAAAACAAACAAACAAAAAAGAAAAAAACAAAAAACGGGGAGGGAATGGGGGCTGAGGATGCAGCTCAGTGCAACGGCCCTGGGTTCAATCTTCACTATCACAAAAAGGGGGGGGGGAATCTGAGGAAATGGGTTGGCCTGGCTCCTGGCTTAACTGGCAAATTAAAAACAGAAGACAATCTTTGGGGAATTGCCCAAGGTCATTCAGCCAGGCAGTGGGGGCTGGGATCACCCGACCCTGTCCCCATGGAAACAGCAGGTGACAGGTGACCTTATCTGGTTAAAAGTAGCTCAAACCATGGGGATCCAGCGTCCCTGGGTTGCTATGGCAGCTGCAGAGCGTTGGGGGAGCAGGAGGCGAGGAGGGACGCCTGGTGACCCGCCCTTTGGACACGCCCCCGAGTGGCCCACCCCCATTGGTCAGTTCCCCGATACCCCGCCCCCGAGCCGCTGTAAGGCGGGCAGTGGGCGGAGACTTGAGAGTTCAAGGTCCGCTCAAGCGGCTGGTGGGGGGCAGAGGTTCCGCGGCCCAGGTGAGTGGGGTGCAGAAGGCGCTTCCGCCAGGCTCTGGGATCCGGGTCGTGTGTTGGGCGAGGGTCCCGCGGAGAGGGTGGGGTGCGGCGGGCCAGAGCAGGTGGCAGAGACCCTTGACCCAGTTGGCAGAGGCTCAAGACCCAGTCGGGGCGCCGAGGGCAGCGGGCGGCAGATCTGCAGCTTGAGGCCGAGCTCCCCCTGTGTGGCCACGTGGACCTGTGGCGTGCCTCAGTTTCTCCATCTGTCAGGTGAACTGTGCGGCTGATGGGGATTCTGCCGGCTACGGCCTCCACCCTGGCTGGGGAGGGTGCTTGTGCAGGCCCGACCCCGGCCCAGCGGCAGAAGGAATCAAAGAGCGGCAGGAGCTCGTCCAAAGCCACAGGGACCCTCCCGCGTGCAAGCAGCGCTTAACTGTGCTACGTGCATGTTGTCCAAGCCTCGCACGACGCCCCATGTCACGGGTCGGGAGTAAGACTGGCACACAGCCCAGCCAGGCGGGGCCCCAGGACCCTCACTGCCCTGTCCTCCCCAGGGTGACCCGGTGCAGCCACCATGTGTGACAACGAGGCCACTCCAGACCCCAGACCCAGCTTGGAGGAGCCCAACCGACAGGTAGGGCTGCCCCTCCCCAAACAGGGGCGCCAGAAAGGGCGGGGGCCAGCTGTCCTCCCTCCGTCCTTGCTGGGAGAACCGAGTTTCCAGGCTGTTATGGACCCCAGTGGGGGCTCCTAACACCCAGCACTCTGCTGCCCTCTCTGAGTCCCTACCGCAACTCTGACTGGCGTCCACTGTGACCATTACTGACCACAGTAGTGGTAACCACAGCTTCCACTGCACTTTTTTTTTTTTTTTTGAGACAAGGTCTCACTAGGTAGCCCTGACTGGCCTTGAACTTGTGGTGATCCTCCTGCCTCAGCCTCCTGAGTGCACCACCACCCCTGGCCCAGAGAGCCCTAAAGGGATCCCTCTGATGCCACCCCTTCCTGCAGAATGCTGTACAGCGCGTGGTGGCCTTGCCCCTGGTCCGGGCCACCTGTGCCACTGTCTCCAATGCTTACAATGCCACCAAGGACAGGCACCCGCTGCTGGGCTCTGCGTGCCGCCTGGCAGAGCACTGTGTGTACAGCCTGACCACCTGTGCCCTGGGCCATGCCCAGCCGCTGCTGGACCATCTGCAGCCCCAGTGTGAGTGAGTCCCGGGACGGGGATGGCCCACTGCCCCACCCTGCCGGCTGCATGCCCTGCGGCTGCCTGATGTGGACGTCCCTCTTTAGCCGTTCCCTCTGTCCTGCTATGTGCATCCCTTGCTCCCCTTCTCTGCCAGCCCGGCCCCCGCTAGTCCCCTGCCACCCTTCTCTCTGATTCTTTATTGGTGGCACTGGGGGTGGAACCCAGGGCCTTTACACTGAGCTCCATCCCCAGCCCTTTTTATTGTTTGTTTTGAGACAGGCTCTTGCCAAGTCACTTAAGTTGGCCAGGCTTCTCGTGAACGTCCTACCCTCCTGCCTCAGCCTCCCGAGTGCTGGGATGACAGGCGTGCGCCACTCCATCCGGCCTGCCTCTCTAGTGCTCCCTCCCTCTATATATCTCCATGTGTCCCTGTTTCTCCCCCACTTCAGTGGCCACAGTGAACGATCTTGCCTGCAGGGGCCTGGACAAGCTGGAAGAAAAGCTACCCTTTCTCCAGCAGCCCTCGGACACGGTACTGGGGGGACCCAGTCACGCATGGGGACCTTAGAGGTTGGGCCGGAGTTGAGCCAAGAGGGAGGGTTGATCCAACTATCCTGGAGCAGGACCTAAAACTCCAGTCATGTAAAACAACTGGCACCGTCACACACCACGCCAGTAGGCGCCGGCGATGGCCTGCACAACACCTGGGGGACAATCATTTTATTCCCCTTTTCATAAAGGGGAAACTAAGGCACGGAGCCATGAAGCGGTCTGAAGCATTTGCAGTCCCAGCCCCAGGGAGCTGGGGTCAGGGGACAGAGCCAGAGAGACTTGCAGTTTCTGGAGCAGGGGCCCCTCCTGCCAGGTCGTGACCTCGGCCAAGGACGCAGTGGCCAGCGGGGTCACAGGTGTGGTGGACCTGGCCCAGCGGGGCCGGCGCTGGAGTGTGGAGCTAAAGCGCTCTGTGACCCACGCCGTGGACGTCGTGCTGGGCAAGTCGGAGGAGCTGGTGGACCACTTCCTGCCCATGACGGAGGAGGAGCTTGGTGAGGCTGGCACCCCTCCCCTCCTCACCCCACTTCCGGTCCAGGGGTCTTCTCGGTGGGGTACAGATCAGAGAGGTCTGGATCGGACCCAGGCCGCACAGCACAGCAGCAGGAAATGGGGCTCAATCTCCTTCAAGTGTGTCATTTACTAGTTCCGCCGCCTGCCTCACAAGCACAAGATCCTGAGTTCAATCCTGATACCAAAAATAAAAAGAAAGAAAGAAAGCAGAAAAGCAAGGCACAGGCTAACTAGTGTCTGTCGTTGTAGCCAGTTTCCCAAACCCCATCACTCCCAGTATTTTACATCCTGTCCGCTATGATTTTGTTTTGTGTTTTTTTTCTTGGGTTGGGGCTGGTACCGGGGATCAAATTCAGGACCTTGCCCTTACAAGGCCGGCACAGTGACACTGACCTAAATCCCCGGCCGTTGTTTTTTGCTTTTTGAGACAGGGTCTCTCTATGTAGCTCAGGCAGGCTTTGAACCCATGGTGATCCTCCTGCCTCAGCCTCCCAAGTGCTGGGATTACAGGCCTGTGTCACCATGCCCGATTTATATAAGATATATTCTTTTGTTTGGTTTTTTTTTTTTTTAAGACAGGGTCTCATTTTATAGTTCAGGCTGGCCCTGAACTTTTTAAAAATTTTTTTCTTTTTTGGTGCTGGGGATCGAACTCAGGACCTTGTGCTTGCGAGGCAGGTGGCGGAACCACTGAGCTAAATCTGCAGCCCCTGGCCCTGAACTTATGATGTAGCTCAGGCTGGCCTCGAACTCCCAGAGATCCTCCTGCCTCTGCCTCCCAAGTGCGTGAGCTGCCTTGCCCAGCTTTAAGAGTCCATTTAATAGAATGGTTGAGCATAGTCTGGAGCTGGTGTGCCTGGGCTTGAACCCTGATGTGCCTGATTTGCACCGCGGTCTACGCACACTCTGTGTCAGTTTCCCTTATCTGTAAAATGGGGACAGTAACAGTGCCTTCACTCTCGGACTCAGGAAGAGGAAGAGGTTGGTGTTAATAAAGGAAAACCACAGATCCGGGAGCCTGTGGGCTTGTCTACCCCGAGGGCGGGTGACCAGGTGTGGAGGAGGTGGCCACGCTGACCACCCGCTCCTGTCCCTCCCTTCAGCGGCCCTGGCAGCAGAGGCTGAGGGCCCAGAAGTGGGCTCGATGGAGGATCAGAGAAGACAGCAAGGCTACTTTGTACGCCTGGGCTCCCTGTCCACGAGGATCCGCCACCTGGCCTATGAGCACTCCCTGGGGAAACTGAGGCAGAACAAACACCGTGCCCAGGATACGTTGGCCCAGCTGCAGGAGACGCTGGAGCTGGTGAGGATTCTCTGCTGAGGGCCGCTCTGTCCTTCCAGGGGCGCAGGTCAACGCTGGGGAGGGGCAGCGCTCTTCTCTTCCCGCTCACGCGCAACACACGCGCTCCTACTGCAGCCTCTGGTGGCAAAGTTTATAGGAACCACCTGCTGCTCACCTTCCAGCCGGGCCTCATCCGCCCCCTCTCCAGCCCTTACCAGGCAGCCTTCCTCCACACAGCAGCCACCAGAGGGCGCCCGCGCGCACTGAGCTGGTCCCTCCCTCCTCTGGTCTCAGCCCTCCGTGGCTTCCTCCTCCTTGCAGCCCACAGGATCCCGCACGGCCTGCCCGTCCCCTCCCCGCCTCCTTTCCTCCCTTTCTGCCCCTCACTCCCTCTGCTCCAGCCACAGCCTTGTCTACTGTACCGGGCTCCATCGTGCCCCAGGGCCTTTGCATGGTCATGCCCTCCTCCTGTTGCGCTTTATTTTCCTTCTTATCACTCACTCTCTGTTTCCAGAACACCACGGGATCATACAGCGTCTTCATTTATTTTAGTGCATCTCCCCCTCTGGACTTTATCTTTGTGCCAGTGCTGAGCTCTGAACCCGGGATCGTGCATGTGCTAGGCGAGTGCTTTGCTGCTGAGCTGCACCCTCAGCCTACGTGCTCCACGTTTATTGAGCATCTATGCTGCGCTAGGCCTTGAGCAAGGCACTGCCCTCCGCACACAACTGGGAGGCACACAGCGAGGGCCATGTGCGCATCCGGGCAACTGAGAGCTCAGTGTGCGCTCCCTGAGACACTGCGCACCTTGCTCATGATAATGCAAGAGGCCTTTGCACGCCCCCGTGTTTGCTAACACCCGCTTCCTGTGTGTGGTCGGTCTACACAACACGAAGCTTACCGCTTAACCGTTCTTAAGTGTCCGACACAGGGTCATCGAGCGCGTCCCTCGGCCAGGCCACCTGCCGTCCACCCCCAGGACTTTCCATCACCCCCCCACCGAGCGCTGTCCCAGGAAACGCTGACCCCGGCCCCTCCCCAGCCCGGCACCGCCGTCCTCCTTCCTGTCCCCGTGGGTCTGACCACCCTGGGCCTCCTGGGAGCGGGGCCCTGCCCTGCGTGTCCTCCTGTGTGTGGCTCGGCTCCTGAGCAGCGCGGCCTCAAGGGCCAACTGCGCTGTAGGATGTCAGGGTTCCCTTCCTTTTAAAGGCTGAGGAATGTTCCACTGTATCCATGGGAGACACTGAATTTTCCTTCCTCCTCTGCTGCTTCTTGTACTGAGCACTGAACCCAGGGCCTTCACACAGAACTCTGTCCCAGCACTTTCTATTTTTTATTTTGAGATGAGGTCTCACTAGGTCACTAAGTTGCCTTGGCTGAGCTCAAACTTTCAATCCTCCAGCCTCAGCCTCCCAGAGTGCTGGGATTGAATACAGGTCTGTGGCACCACCCTGGTGGCTCTCTTCTTTGTCCTGTTTGCTTTTTGTGTTGCTTGGGCTGGAGTCCACATCCCTGCTCCCACTAGAAAAGCACCCTACCCTTGCCCCACACCCCAGCCCTAACTTCAAGTCTTTTATTTTCTTTTGTTGTTTTATTTTTTGAGACAGGTTCTCACTATGTAATGAGACTGACCTGGAACTCACTATGTAGCCCAGGCTGGTCTCGAACTCACAGTGATCCTCCTGCCTCAGCCTCCCGGGTGCTGGGATGACAGGCGTGTGCCACCACGCCCGGCAAGTCTTATTTTCTTTAAATCTTTTCTTTTTCAAGCAAAACATTTATTGGTACTTTTTTTGGGGGGGGGATGGAACTCAGGACTTTGCACTTACAAGGCAGGTGCAGGGGCATGGAACTGAATCCGCAGCCCTATTGTTGCATTTTATTTATTTATTCTTTTTTTTTTTAACTTATTTTATGTTTTTGGTACTGGTGATCAAACTCAGGACCTTGTGGTTCCAAGGCGGGTGGCAGCACCGCTGAGCTAAATCCCCGGCCCCTATTTTTAATTTTTTAATGTTTGACGTACCAGGGATGGAACTTGGGTCCTTGCACTTGTAAGGCAGGTGGCGCCACTGAGCCAAATCCCCAGCCCCTGGTGCATTTTAGACATACGTGATGGTCGCATTCATCATAGGGAATTTGTACCTGTACGTGATAGATCTTATCTTTTCCCATTTCCCTCCCCCCCCTTCCTCCCATTTCCCAATGTCTGTTCTACACTTGGTCCTTATTCCCACTGTTAGTGGCTCACACCAGAGAAACAGTGCAGTATGTAAGTGCCTGTCCGGTTTAGCTCACTTAAGGATATGGTCTCAGGGCGCATCCATTTAGCTGGAAGTGGCTCAAGGTCATCCTTCTTTAGGGCAGAGTAGTACTCCATTGTATAGAAAAAACACCTCTTCTTTATCCACTCGTCAGCTGATGGGCAATTGTGCTGTCTCCAAGATCTAGCGACTACAGACTGCGCTATGCAAACAGGGCGTGCGTATATCCTTATGATGCTTTTAATGCTTTGGGGAAGCTACCAAGAAGGGGGAGAGCTGGGTTGAAAGGAACCTCTAGTTTTAGTTCTTTGCGGAATCTCCGTACCGATTTCCACAGCGGTTGCACCAGTCCGCACTCCCACCAGCAGTGGAGCAGGGTTCCTTTCTCCCCGCAGCCGGGCCAGCGTTTGTTATTGGTGATTTCTTGATAGCAGCCATTCTTTCTGGGGTGAGGTGGAATCTCAGTGTTGTTTTCATCCGCCTCTCTCGAATAACCAGTGATGAACATTTTTTCATATATTTATTTGGTGTTTCTCATTCATGTGAGAAGTGTCTGTTCATTTCAGACGCCCGTTTTTAGATTGGGTCTTTATTTGGGGGGGTCTGATTTTTAAAAATTCTTTATATATTGTAGACATCAGTCCTTTGAGGAACAGCTGGCAAAATATTTTTTCCTACAGTGTGGGTTGTCTCTTCACGATGTTCTACTTTCAAATTTTTGTTTGTTTGTTTGTTTGCTTTGGTTTTTTGAGACGGGGTCTCACTATGTAGTTGAGACTGACCTGGAACTCACTATGTAGCCCAGGCTGGTCTCGAACTCACAGCGATCCTCCTGCCTCAGCCTCCCGAGTGCTGGGAGTAAAGGTGTGCGCCACCGCGCCCAGCGTACCTTCAATTCTTAATGCATAATTTTAAGATGTGGTAACACATCTGTCTCAGGTAGGGTCCTCACGATTACAGGCGTGCGCCACCGCGCCCAGCTTACCTTCAATTCTTAATGCATAATTTTAAGATGTGGTAACACATCTGTCTCAGGTAGGGTCCTCGGGGTCCTGGGCCTTGGCCTGGACGCTAAATGTGCCCGTGTCCCTCCGGGACGGTACCATAGGCGCGCTCTGCTCGGGCCCCAGGGGGCGGAGGGAAGGCTTCCTGTAGAGCTGGAGTGAACCAGGCAGGGGACAGGGTCGAGGGCCAGGGTACCGCAGGGACTGGCGCGGGGAAGGCCTGCATCGAAGCAGGGCTGCGGGGAACCCCGGGTCTCGGCCGGGGAGGACAAGCAGTGTGGCCCGCGGATCTGGATCCGCAGCGGTGCATACAGATGGTGCTGACCCAATGCCCGTTGGCAGGTTCAGACTAGGGTCCCGTCCTGGGTCCCCTCCGCCTCTCCACCCTTCTGCCCTGACTCCCCACCCCTGTCTCTGCCTGCAGATCCACCGCATACAAAGTGGGTTGAGCCCGATCCCCGCGTCCCAGTCGGGGAAGGTGCACGAGCTGTGGGAGGATTGGAACCAGAGACCCTTGGAAAAC